CAATCCTTAGGACTTTGATCCACTGCAATTCCTCCTCTATCACAACTCATCATTTTTTTCCATGTAGGAACCTTGGCTGTTTGAGGATCTTTCAACAATACTGTCTCCAAATGTGGCAGCCTAAATTTCAAACCTTTTAATCCCTCCTTAGTCCCTTTAGGGGTCATTCTGACCTCAATTTGGGTAGAGATTTATGAGAAGAGAAACCCATACCAGTCCATACACAGCAAAGCAACCTGTGCTCCTTCTCCTGCCCTAGCAGGTCCATCAGCCTTCCCCTAGTGCTATCATATGGAGGGTGAGCACTGCATCAAAACACCTCCAGATTACAGCAGATCTGCAAATTATTCGACAAATAACTGTAAAAACTCCTCACCACTTACCCCATTCTTATCAAAAGCTCTGAACATGTTTTCCACATACTCTGCAGCTTCCTGGTTGTCCTGGACCCCAAAGAACCTCTTGAATTCATGCATGAAGAGAGTCCCACTGGGACATTCAACCACAAACTTCTTATACCACTCCTGCAGTTCTGCAACATCAATCTCTCCTTGCTCCCCTTCAGTATTGGTAAACTGCTGTCCCATTTTGCTCTTTCAATCAAGACTGAAAACAGAAGGAAAAGAAGGAAAACTCTGCCAAAGTCCTTTGCTTGCGACGTCCTTTCGTTGCTCTTCGCTCGTTTTCTTCTTGCTGTTTTGTGCCTTTATTTGATGTTAATGTTGTTTCTTGTGGTTCTTGCACTTTTTTTTTTTTTTTGTTTTGCCGTATTTTATTTTCTCCTTCCTCTCCTCAGTTCTCACTGCAGCAGTTCCTTGTGCTCACTGGGAGGTCTCAGAGCTGCTCCTCTGCACTAGAACAGACTTGGGTCAAGCATGTCTCTAAATAACTAAGATCATTAGGAGATTCCCACCTATGAGCCCCAGAGACCTTCAGATGTTCTGAGCTGTGCCCTGTTTAGAAACAAACTCCAGAGGCTCAGGGTCTTTCTACACTTTAATACCTTCATGTCACAGAAGTTGGGAGCTGAGGTTCCCTTTCCACATGACGTACAGCCCCACTGGCTTTGCTGCAGGTTTCCAGGGGGGGAAAAAAAAGAATAGTAAGGGAAGTAACTTTAATTTTTTTAGCACTGGTTTGTATCACTTGCTTGTGTGGTTTGCTCAATGCTTTAGGGAGATGTGGCATAGGAACAAACAACAATTACAGAGAGGAAATCCTGAAAAAAGAAGCCCTTCCCTGAAAAAACCTGCTAATGCATTAATTGAATGTCTACTACTCTACGCAGAATGGCTGAGAGAACTGGTAAATGCACAGAGATACACATATTCCTCACATTTTCACAATTCACTTCTGAAAATTTCAGTCAAAATGAGCAGCAGCAGTTGATTTACCTATTTTTTTTAAAGCACAGAGTTCTCCTTATTCCTCTTCCCTCTTTAGAGCCTTTATCCATTGAAACATTCCTCCTGCTTACCCTTCCCACAGAGCATTGCTGACTGCTCTGATTACAGATACAACACACAGCTCTACCCTGACCTCTGCCTGTTCAGCAGCACCCACAGCTCCAATCCTTCTCTCTACACCCAACTCATTCCTTTTCTTCCAGGAGCCACACCAGCTTTTATCCCTATCTTACCTGGTGTTCTGAATCCAACCATTATCTGTGTCAGCAGCAAAGAATGACCTGTAGCTATAAATGTGCCCAAGCCAACCTGGTATCTTGAGTAAGAGGATTGGAGCAGCATTAATAGGAAACAATAGACTCTCTTATACTAATGCTAAGGCCCAGAAGGGGTTTAAGCTGTTCACTTTTTAGGAACCCTTTTTTTTTTTTCTGTTGGTTTGGTAAGAAGAGTCTCTCACATGGAAGAATAATGGCTAAGGATCAGGGTAAAATTTGATACTGTGGAACAGTACAGCAATTCATGCTGCACTGTGAGAAGAGAGTTTGTTCTGAATCTCCTCATACCTCTAAGTAACCCAGCAGAGCTATTGCATGTTATATAGAAACAGAGATTGGCTTGAGTGTAGTATAACTTTACACTTCTATATGTGAGGATACCCAGGCAATCCTCCTGGAACAATCCTAGTGTGCACTAGCAGCCCAGAAACCAATGGAATCCTGGGCTGCATCCACAGGAGTGTGGGCAGCAGGGCAAAGAGGTGATTCTTCCCCTCTGCTCTGCTCTGGTGAGACCCATCTGGAATACTGCACACAGTTCTGGTGTCCTCAACATCAGAAGGACATGGAACTGTTGGAGCAAGTGCAGAGGAGGCCACAAAGTTGGTAAGAGCACTGGAGCATCTCCCTGTGAGGACAGGCTGAGGGAGTTGGGGCTGCTCAGCCTGGAGAAGAGAAGACTGCGTGGAGACCTCAGAGCAACTTTTCACTCTCTGAAGGGCCTACAAGGAGCTGGAGAGGGACTCTGTGTTAGGAACTGCAGGGACAGGACAAGGGGCAATGGGTTCAAACTGAAGGAGGGGAAGTTTAGGTTAGATATTAGGAAAAAAAGTTTTATTCTAAGGGTGGTGAGACACTGGCACAGGTTGCCCAGGGAGGCTGTGGCTGCCCCAACCCTGGTGGTGTTCAAGGCCAGGCTGGATGAGCCTTGAGCAACCTGATCTAGTGAGGAGCTGTCCCTGCCCAGGGCTGGGGGTGGGACTGGATGATCTGTAAGGTCCATTCCAACCCCTAAATTCTATGATTCTACGAATTCATGGTTTCTAGAAGAGGACAAAGACAGTTCATTGATGGAGATGGATTGGAAGGACCAGAATTGTCAGCAAGGCTAAGACTGATCAATTTTAATTAAAATGTGTTTATTTCATAATCTAGAGGGATCCTGTTTGTCTATCCTTATGCCTAGAAGAACACAATTAATGAACTCAATCCTGCCTTTTGTAAATGTTTCATCTTGGCCAGTATCTGGTGTGGCCATGTGTTCTCCATGGGGCTCAAAGAGCTCCCAGGGCACTGAGGTGCTGCTGCCAGGACAGGGGTAGGGAGAACTCATCCTTCTTTGCCTGCAGCACAGCTGGGGAGTTGTGGATGTGCTGGGGTGGATCCTTCCACCATTTCGTGCTGCTCTCCTGCACGGAGGCTGCATGTGGAATGTGAGCTCCAGCAAGACTCCACATGCCCAGGACATTGTCTTGCCTCATTGCATAATTCTGTTTTGCCTTATGGGAACTTGGTGATCTGTTCCCAGGACAGAAAATGGTTCCTCTTTGTTTTGATGACTGCAATCTTTTCCAGGCTGCAAGAGACCTGAGTTACAAAGCTTAGCTGCTGCTCTTGCAGGTATCATGACATACAATCGTGTTGATAAAGTGGTGATATTCATTTGGCACTGAAAGAAAGAAAATCCTATAGCTCCTGGTATGAAAAATTCCTCTGCATATCCTCTCTGCACACACTGAGAGAGCTGCTGTCCCTCAGCCAGCAGAATGTCTCTTTATGGAGTCTCTTTATTTCTTTGTTTGATTTGAAAAAACAATGATGCAGGTAGGGGTAAATATAAGCAGAGAGAAGTGAAAATAAAAGAATAATTTCTAGAAAATACCACAATAAAGAGGTAGTTGCTATTTGGCTGCCTGAAGGAGTAGGATCAATGTCCTCTATGTTATGTCAGAGTGATCACTTTGGATGATTACTTACCAACAGGTATGATCTGATTACATATCCTGCCTAAGGAGTTACCCCTAGATTATCACCTCTCCAGCTCCAAAGCTGTGGAGTTTCCCAGCCAGGAGCATGGAAAAAGACAACTTATTTCCCGTCAGCTCACTGCCACAACATGCTGCCACTTGCTTCTGCAGAGGCTGGTAGAAACTCAAGAGTGAAAAAAAAAAACAAACCACCACCAAACCCTGCAGAGGGCTGGGAAGACTCATTTGTTTGGCATCTGTGTTCCAGCTCGGGGAGGCAGTGGAGGCTGTAACAGGCAGCAGAGGAGAACAACTTCAGTGGAACTGGAGGCAAGGCTAGATCCATTGTCCACGCTGGAAAATATCCTTGCCTGGTTGTTTTGCTACATTCCTCCATTATTTTAAACCCCCCAGCCCTGCCCTGCCCTAAGATCCCTCCTGTGGGATGTTCTACCCCAGCCCAGCTCAGCCCAGGGATGCTCCCAGCCCCAAGTCTCAGATGGCATGAGAGAGAGTGAGCAGCACCACTGTGGGTTCTGCTTCCAAAGCTCCCTGAGCATCCAACCACAAACAAAGGGAACCTGAAGCATCCTTACATTTCCCTGTCACCAGGCAGGAAGGAGGTGTGGACAGGAGGAATGCAGGGAGGGTGAACAGCAGCTTCTGTGCTGACCCATCTGAGGAGAGATCAAAGATCCCTCATAGTTTGGCTGGGAGTTCAGCACAGCTCTCTGTATGTCTCTTCCCAGCTGCTCCCAACATACCCTTGGATGATTTTATACAGGAGGAATAACATCAAGGTGGATTATTACAGGAGCAGCAGTGCCTTTGTTTTCCATATCAAAAATAGTCAAGTACAGCTAACCAAACCCATCTCACCTCCCATCACCCAGCACAGATAGTGCTGACCTTGGAGTGTCACCTATTGTCTCCTGCTTATTCCCAGCAAGATTGTATTATGTGCTGTCAAACTCCTGCTAAATGTTACCTCAGAGTGTGCTGAAGGAAGCCTGAAATATTTACCTTGCACTTGGCACCTGGCAAACTTTCTAAGAAAAGTGTTGAATTGTTTCCTCTACATGTGAAGACTTCCAAACTTTTTACACTCTTCCAAACTCTTGGCTCGAGACTGAGCTGTGGGTGTAAATCAGCCTCTCCCAAGTCAGGATTCAGCATTCTCCATAGTATGGGTGATGGGAAGGAGAAGGGAAATTCCCAGGTTTTTTTCTGGTTCGTTGAAACTGTATGATTCTTGAAACCAAGATTCACCACTGACTCACAGCTCTCCACCTAGGAGGAAAATAAGTAAGACGTGAGGCTGATGGGCAGGAGGCTGCAGAGGGACCAGGGGAGATGCTGCCAAGTCCCCTCTCAGGGGTAGGTTTTGTCTTTATCCTGTGCTATTATTGACTGGATGTAGATCCCTATGGATGGATTTAGGACAAGAGAAAGTGTCCTCAAGTTGTGCCAGGAGAGGTTTAGATTGGGTATCAGGGAAAATTTCTGCATTGAAAGGATGGCAAAGCATTGGAACAGACTGCCCAGGGAAACGGTGGAATCACCATCCCTGGAAGTGTTCAGGAAGATGTGGATGTGGTGCTGAGGGACTGTGGTGATCTCAGAAGGCTTTTCCAATCTTAATAATTCTGTGATTCTATGACGGGGACGAATATGCTTTAAACTGCAAAAAAAAAAAGAACCAGGAACTTTCTGTTTCTTTTCCTAAACATTCCATTTAAAAGACAAAACATTCCTTTGAACAGGCAAAACATTCAGGTTTTTTTTTTTTTGTTTTAAAGAAACTTTCTTTCCTAAACATTCCAGAAACAAACAAAAAAAAGGAAGAAACAAACATTCCGTTTCACAGGAAGTTTCTTTGCTAAATATTCCATTTCAAAAGGAAAAAAAATACGTTTACAAGGAAATTTCCTTTCCT